CTACAGCATCTTGTAGGCCTCCCCTCTCCACATACCTCTCCTTGAAGCAGCCAGCCTGTCCCACTTGCGCACCCTCGCCATTGGAGCTTCTGTCCGCTCTGCGACTATCCCAATTCACAAATGCCTGGAGCCTGGAGTTAAGTCGGGCATGTCCTCCTACAGGCGGACTTTGGCAAACCAATGAAAAATAGTCAAAACATGCTCAAACAGAGTGAAACAATAGTAGAACAATGTCTCTGATTATGTTTCGTCTATTTTGAAACATTCCTCCTGTAGAGGGGCAGGCCCGACTTAAGCCTGGAGTGTTGAATCAACCCAACACGTCTGCAGCAGGACCAGCAAGCGCCAGCGGGGCGGAGAGGCGGGCGCGAGGAACGCGCAGCCGTGCGGACGCCGAGCGTGGTTGCCGCGAGGGCGAGCGAGCTGGCGCTCTGGCGGAAAACCTCGGATCACGACGCGCACGAAACCGGCCCCGTCATCCTCGTCATGTTCACGCTTGGCTCGCAGGCCCTTCGACTCGCCTCGAGAGCGAACTCGATGGCAGACGGTTCAAGAAGACCATGACCAGAACACATGATGCGCAGAATGCAAATTCGTGACGGGATCTGTCTTCTATCTGACTGGAGCGGGGCTGTCGCCTTTTCGGCTACTACAGTCTTGAGCGCAGCTAGCAGCAGAAGGCTGGAGAACGGATCACAAATCCCCTTGTAGTGGTATACATGACGACGCTGCCCCCCTCGCCTCCAGCGACGCCAACACATGCCTGAGGTGAGACAGCCCGAACTCCGAGTTGTCCTGCTGCTTTTCCTGGGGGGGTGGGAGAGGAGGCGGATAGGAAGGGATGAGGAGTAGAGGGAGAGAAGAACAATTAAAATGGCCGTCGGCAGCACCCGAACATCCACGGAGGCCCGTAAAACCGTCCCTCCTACTGCCTCCTTTCCTCTTTCCACACATGCTTCGAGGCGGCCCACAAACCGTAAAAACTATGTCTTTCGTTGTCGTTCGAGGGAGAACGTTCGACACTTTGACAATCCAGGAAAACGTTCCAGCCCGGATGTTGTGAGGAATCAAGACGTGGCGACCAGGGTCAAATTCTGGAGACCTAGAACGTACGGACGTATTTGAAAAAGGGGTCCTCGACCATCGATGTCTTCACTGTGACATCTACAGCCCCAATGCAGTCGGCCAGCCTGCTGATTGACTCAAGCGAGCAATGCGAATGAAACTTGGGAAACCTTGGCGGTTCATGGATGTGTTCGTGCCCCAAAAGATCTCGGAATAAGGGGGGATGTGTCTCGCGTGGGGTTTTCGAACGGGCAAAAGAATGTGGGCCCAACTCGAAGTTTCTCAATGGGGGTGTCCATCCTCGATACGTGTGTCCGAATAAGCCCCCTGGGACCTGAAGGTGTACACCGACTGCTTGATTTCCAACCGCATCGCCGATGCATCACCGATGCACCGGCAATGCATCGGTGATGCATGGGCGACGCCGTTCATGCATCGGCGACGTCGGCGTGAAGAAATCGGGCTCCACGTGGCGCCGCATCGCCAATTGCATCGGCGATGCGGCGCGATCCCCCGATCCGTTCTACTCGTACTTCATCTGGGAGGCCCAGGCTCGCGCACCGCCCCCTGCTTGTGCAGTGGGTCGGCGGCGCACCAAAAGAAAAAACCTCCTCAGAAGGCTCGGGAGTTTCCCGGCCTTCTGGGATGTCGGGTGAATTTTCCCCGGCGACATAAGAAGCCGCTGATTGCAGGAGAACTTCTGAGAAACACCGCCGCCTTCTCTGAAGGTATCCCCCTTTGTCACTTCCCCCTTCGATCGCCGCCGCAGATTATACATCTACATATATATATATGTATATATACACGGTGCCTCCAGGGATGACTAATGCATGTCGGTATCTGGATATATATATATATATATACAGTACGATAAACGTTGTTCATATTCATATTTGCAAATATATACATACATCCATATATCCACACATGTATGCATTCATGTTTACATGCATATATCCATATCATTATATACACACGCATCTGCAATTTATCAAGTATATACACAAATACTCGTATATATACACAACTAAAGATGTACTCGCACATACGTGCTGAAGAACAATTGTCAGAATGAGGGGGCCGAACGGTCATTCATTATCCCTGGGTGCGTGGCTGAAATGAGAACCCGTGGTGAAGATTATGTTGATTGCGTTGTTGTTGTTGTTGCTGTTGCTGTTGCTGTTGTTGTGGCTGTGGCTGTGGCTGTGGCTGTGGCTGTGGCTGTGGTTGTGACTGTGGTTGTTGTTGTTGTTGTTGTTGTTGTTGTTGTTGTTGTTGTTGTTTGTTGTCGTCGCCCCCCCCCCCGCGACCCACCCGCGACCCACTCCACGACCCGCCCCGCGACCCATCCCGCGACCCACCCCGCGACCCACCCCGCAACACACCCGCGACCCGCCCCGCGACCCACCCGCAACCCACCCCGCGACCTACCCGCGACCCACCCGCGACCCACCTCGCGACCCACCTCGCGACCCACCCCGCGACCCATCTGCGACCCATCAACGACCCAGCCGCGACCCACCCGCGACCCACCCGCGACCCACCCGCGACCCACCCCGCGACCTACCCGCGACCCACCCGCGACCACCCCGCGACCGATTCACATTGTTTCGAAGAAAAGATCGGAGCCTGCGGCGGGCCCTTGTATAATTTGAAAAAAAAACTTTGGCGCCTGCGGCGGGCTTCTCCAAATACGCGCCGACAGCCGATGTCCCCACAACCCCCTCACTCTTCTCCACATATTCGGGGTGCAACGTATATCATTGCCAAAGGTCTGGCACTCACAAGACGGATGCTGGACACACGAAGCAGTGCTCCGGCTTGGTGGAAGTTCGGCTCACGACATTTCCAGAACTACTGAGGACAGCTCCCTAGACTATGACGTGAGATCGCCCGACGCGTTGTGCAGCTCGGCGAAACTCTGTCGGCTTGGTCGAGGCGCGCCGCCGTGGCTGGCGGCAGCCGACGGCAACGCCGGGAAACCCAATCCCTGCATCGAGGGCGGCGCCAGTCTGACATGTGCGCAAGACAGCGGACACGCTGTGCAACATGGGCCTGACAGCAGGGGTGTACGGCGGAAACAACGAACTCGCGGATAGTGCTCCGCTTGCGGTGCTTGCTTCTCGCATGGGGCTCAAGCGCGCGAGGGCGCGAAAGCGCGATCACAGTCAGGACAAACAAACGGGAGCACGGCACAAAAGCCAAATGCATCCCCTTGGCGATCACAGACAGACCCGGTCAAACAATAAACTGCGTCACTCATGCTGCTCCACGCACTTGGCTGCAACAAATATGGTCGTGCCAAAACTGCGGGGCCTCCAATAGGAGAGACCGTTTGCGGATAGCAAGAACGTTCCGGAGCACATTGACATCCCTGGCCGCCCTGGCCAGTTGGGCCACCCATGGCGCGTAGCCAGACTCGCCGCCATCGTGCAGATGAAAGAGAGCCCGAAGCTCGGCCAGACGATCGCGGCACACCCTTGCAGCGAACGCACGCCGGATGCGCGCGATAGGGCAGTCGAGGCTGACCTGTTGCAGCATGTTTCTGATTTGCCAATCGGTGGTCTTGTTCTCTGAACTGCAGCGGGGATCGCCAGCTATGCGCCGCAGATCGCGCACAGAACAACCGCTCATGGCCTTGAGGTCGCTCCCCGCCGGGACGAGGGTGCGCAGCGAACAGAAGTCGACTCAGCACAAGAGGCCGAAGGCAAGCAAGGCGGTGCCTCATGCTCAACAGGTCGGATCCGAATGTCCTGTTGGCCAAATGGGCGTCTGCGGCCAGCGCTGAAGAAACCCGATGTTCGGTATTAGCGCACGCGTCGCCGTTGCCCGGAACGCACGCGAAGGAGCCGAGGTGCTTGCATCCCTGTGCAACTGACAACGAGACATTTTCGCGGCGAGGAACACGAATGGCAAGCTGACCATCGGGCCAGGGACGGCGAAGGTGAGCAGCAGCCCTGTTGCAGCGCTATTTCGGGAGGCACTCACTTTTGCCAGGCTTCCAGTTGAGCTCCAGGCGCGCACAATGGAAGATCTCGATCGACACGTCCATGAGGGTCTCAATGATCGCCCAACTGTTTCGGCGTGTCCGCCAAGAGGACGATGGCATCATCCACGAATGCGGCGTCTAATGTCGGCACCGTGCTCTCGTTCGCAGGGCCGGGGTCAGCCTGACGGCGGCGCCGGGAAAGCGGGGGCGTAGGGATACGCAACTTGTCTTGCAGATGCGGTGCAACAAAGAAAGGGCAACGGCGCTGTGGCCTCTGACACTTGCGGCTCCCAGTTTACAGCCTGGACGCCCTCCTGCCGCACTGGTCATGGGATGCCCGTCGGCGCCGACGGTGAACGGGGCTCCAGCACGCAACGCCTGGACCACCTCCACTGCCTTCCGGTTCGCGCCCCATCCGAGCAGCACGGAGCCACGCATTCGGATTTAGCCAGCGATCCAGGCGGCGGCATGGCGTGACGCGCCGGGAGCCGCAAGGGCAGCGACTGGATCCTCGGGGGGCGTCGGACCGAAACCAAAAACGATCACGAATAACTTTGTCGCAAACCTTGACAACTTCCCAGTAAAAAAACACGAACGTAGACTTTTGGGTCGCCGTGGTGACAAAAATGAGCATGCGAACGACCATCGACGCATAGTCCGCGTCGCGCTTGGCCACGACGCCGCAGTAAGACCGCGGGGTGTGAGCGGCGCATTCCGGGGCCACCAGGCATCCGCATTCCATGGAACGTGCCCCCATCGCAACCACTGGCAAAGCAACTGTCGCCTCGACAACGACCAGCGCCTCCTCTATGTGATCTCCGCCGTCACCGTCAGCAGGGTCAGGACGCCCATGCGCATCACCAGAAGGGGGCCCACCACCAGGGCCAGGCGGACCCCCAGCGCCAGAGGGGCGACCATCTCCAGGAACAACACGAAGACGCGTCGACACACGAGCTTCACCCTTGCTGATCTTGTGGCGCAACCCACTGCCACATGCTCAGGGAAAAATCGCAGCAGCATCGTGAACAGGTCAATCAGCAGCCGATTGTTCACCCCCAGGTCCACTGCAAGAAGAACCTGGACGAGCAAACGATCAGGATGAGCCGCAAGCCTCACTCTCGCTGGCCGTCCGCCACGGAACTGAGCGGGAATCCAGTCCAACCGAGCCGCCACCACCATTTTTTTTTCATGTGCTTCTCCTTTTATTTCTTTTTCCTTTTTTTTCTCTCGAGCCGCCACCACCATTGCCCGCTGCCGCGCGGGGGGAGGGAGGGGGAGGGGAGGCCCCAGCACGTGCAGAGGGACGGCCCGCGACCCCAACACGCGCCAGAGCTAGAGGGGCTAGGAGGAGGAGGAGGAGGAGGAGGAGGAGGAGGAGGAGGGGGAGGGGGAGGAGGGGGAGGGGGGAGGAGGAGGAAGAGGAGAAAGAGGTGGAAGAGGGAGGAGGAGGAAGAGGAGGAGGGCAGGCAAGAGCAGTAGGATGACGACGAACACGAACCTTCGCACAGGGGGGGGGGGGGGGGGGGGGGGGGGGGCGGGCGTCGAGGCGGCGGTCCGCGAGCGCATCCCCGCCGTGCTGCTCGGGCGGCGGCCGCGCGGGCGGGCGCCACTCGCGCAGCATGTCGCGGACCTCGGGCGGGGGGGGGGAGGGGCGGGCGGGGGCGCCCCCCTCCTCCGAAGGTGAAGCAAGGACGAAGACAACATCGGGGCGGAAATACATCCCGCCATCGCTCGGACGTCCACTCCCCGTGCATTTTTCGATGTCGCGCGCGTATGCTTTGCGAGATGATTCAGCAATTCCTCGATGGTCCTCGCCCTCAACAGATGCAAACGTCCGAATGATGCCGAGAAATCGAAAATCTCTGAGATCCGACGGCTCTGCTCTGGAGGATGTCTCGGGCGCCGCGGCCTTCTCAAGGTGGGCCAGGACGCTCTGAGAGCCTTCCGGAACGCTCTGGAACGGATTTATCCTCGTCCCAACCCCGTCTGGCCTTCTCCCTCGGACTTATTGCGTCGTGGGAAAATCACGGCGGACTTTTGTTTTACTATTTTCGTGCTCTGGAGGGCCTCGCTGGGCTCGAGGGCCGTCAGACAACGATTCGCGATGAAAAGCAGGGCCGGCAAACACGGTCGGGACTTCCAGAGGGGGGAAATTGATACAAATAAAAAATCATAGCTCTGGGTTCCCCCCTTTCCCCTTAGGCTCCGAACCCTCCTCCTTCTGGTCCTTCCCCTTGTTCTGTTTCTCTGTTCCTCCTGTTCCTCCTCTTCTTCCTACCCCTCCTACTCCTCCTCCTGCTCGTCCTCCTCCTCCACCTCCTCCACCTCCTCCTCCTACTTTCATTATCCTTCTCCTTCTCAGGATCCTTATCCTTCTCCTTTTCCTTCTCCTTCCCGTACCTATTCTTTGTCTTATTCCTCCTCCTCAACCTCCTCCTCTGCCGTCTCTCGGCTATGAGGTCATCCTGAATTGGCCATCCGCGCCCCCCCAAGGCCCGTCGGCCCTGGGGGGGGGGGGGGGGCGAATCAAACTGGTGAGCCAAGCGGCCCCAGAGAGAGTTCGGGGCGAGTCGGCAGAACTGTCATCCTGGCCTTCCTGACCACGTCGGCAGACCAGTCCTCCTCGTCCTCCTCGTCTTTCTCCTCCTCTTTCTCCTCGTTTTCCTCCTCCTCCTCTTCCTCCTCCTCCTCCTCCTCCTCCCCCATCTCCTCTTGCTCCTCATCCTCTCCTTCTCCTTATGCTCCTTATCCTCCTCCTCCTCCTCCTCCTCCTCCTCCTCCCCCTCCTCCTCTTCCTTCTACTCCTCCTCTTTCTTATATTATCCTCCCCTCATCCTCCTCCTCCTCCTCCTGCTGATTCCGTCCTCCTAATACCCCCCCTCGTCTCCGTCCCCCCCCCTCTCCTCCTCCTCCGCCTCCTCCTCCTCCGCCTCCTCCTCCGCCTCCTCTTCCTATTATCCGCCTCCTCCTCCTCCTCCTCCTCCTCCTCCTCCTCCTTCTGCTTCGGGTTTCGTGCTGCGGTTCTTCACGTCGATTCGAAGGGCTGCGGCCCCGCCCCCTCGCCCTCCCTCCCCCCCAGCAGCAAGGCACCGCGGGGGTGTTTGGGGGGCGGGGTTTGTAGACGCGAGCTGCACCACGGCCTGACTGGGGGCGGGCCAAAGGGAGGAGGGAAACCAAGGCGACCCCGCCCCCGCCTTTGTCTCCCCAGCAGCAGGGCCACGCGGGCAGCACTCGGCGGCGAGCGAGAGGGGGGGGGGAAGGGAAAAAGGACAGGCCATCTCAGAAGGCGGTGGGGTTTCTCGGAAGACCTCGCGCCTTCTGAAACGTTTCTGTGTCTTCGGGGAGCGTTAAGGCAACTCGTGGGGCACTTCCGACATTTCAACCAAAACACACACATTCACACACATTCACACACACATTCGCACACACACACACACACACACACGCACACGCACACGCACACGCACACGCACACGCACACGCACACGCACACGCACACGCACACGCACACGCACACGCACACGCACACGCACACGCACACGCACGCACACGCACACGCACACGCACACGCACACGCACACGCACACGCACACGCACACGCACACACACACACACACGCACACGCACACGCACACGCACACACACACACACACACACACACACACACACGCACACACACACGCACACACACACATTCACACACATTCACACACATACCTCCCCATCGCTCCCCCCCGACACTGACGCGCACAGTCCGGAAAGGTTGCCGGCCTAGACAAGGCCGACCTAGACAGGTCCTACGATGGCAGCTAAGGAGGAAGGGAGGGTGCGCTGGGAGAGGTTGCTGGAGAGCTGACAATGCTATACCATTCGCCTCGTCATGCCCTCCCGCCACCGACTACACTCGACCAGGATGATAAGGATGCGCGGTCAGGATTCAAGGGCCCTGGAACGCCGCGTTGAAGCTTTCCGTGCGGAGCGCAGCAGAATGCCGAAGGATGCTGAATACCGAAGGGGCAAGGATGCAAGGGTAGCCCTGGAAAGTTGCCCCATCCTTACTGTCATGGTTGACTGCACCAGTCCCTCCCGCGCCAATAGTCATCGTCGCACCTCCCCGCCCCGTCGCCCGCGTCGCGGGCGGCGAGCTGGCCAGCCCGCGGGTGGCGCGCCCCCCTCCGCTCAGTGCGGGAGGGCGCGCAGCTTGTTGCGCGCGGCACTCTGCGAGCTGGCAGCATGGGGATGATACGCGGGCTGCCAAGGACGCCACGCAACACGAGGTCCGCAGTGACGCTGCATGGCTGGAAAACGGGGGAGAGTCCAGTCTCCGAGTCCTTGATCTTGTCGCACCCACCTAAATTGGGCCAATGCCTCCTAATGTGGCCCCGCGTGCCTGGGAAACGCGGTCTCCTGTTTTCACGCCCCGGGGGTGGTCCAACCTGCCTGGGGAGCGCGGTTCTCTGGACCCCCCCCTACAGCACAACCGCGCCACTGTAGTTAGCATTCTGGGGCCTACGGCCGCGAAGAGCTGGCTGAAGGGGGAAGCCGAACGGAGGGCGAGGTGGCAGGTCCGCGGGCGGCAAGCAGTCGGCGATCGCCCTGTCGGCGAAGCAGCGCTGCTGCAGCTCCTCCTGCCCGGCCCCATCCACGCTCCTCCGTCCCGTGCCATGGGCGCTAAGCCCGGTCGAAGGCGCGCCTGGAGTGCAGCTGCCCGCTGTAGAGCGGCGGGCCGCGCGGCTTGGCGGTGCATCGCCGCCGCGCCCCGGGCGGCGCGGGCCCGGCGACAGGAGTCGCGCCACTCGCGGTCATGCCCGGAAACCGCGGCGCTACTTGGCCAGGATTGTCGCGAGGCCACGATCACAGGAAGGGTCTCCCGCCAAAGGCGTATAATCCTCGAAGCCGTGGATCGTGTCAGCGGTGGCAATGTTGGCGTGGCAGGGTTGGGCTCGGGTGCGGGGGGATTCCCCGCTGGCGCTTTGAGCCAGAATGGCTTCGGATCCTCCTCCTCCTCCACCTCCTCCTCCTCAACCTCCACCTCTCCACTTCCTCCTCCTCCACCTCCTCCTCCTCTTTCACCTTCTCCTCTTCCTCCTCCTCCTCCTCCTCCTCCTCCTCCACCTCCTCCTCGTCCTTCTCCTCGTCCTTCTCCTCGTCCTCCTCCTCCTCCTCCTGTTCTCCTCCTCCTCCTCCTAATCCTCCTCCTCCTTATCCTCCTCCTGCTCCTCCTCGCTTCTCCCTTTTCCTCCTTCTCCTACTCATCTTCCTCCTCATCCTTACCTCCTACTCCTACTCCTCTTCTCCCCCCTTCTTTTTCTTGCCATTATTAGTATTACTGTTCGTATTACTACAAGTACTACTATTACTATTATTATTATGCACATTAATGTTAATATTATTATTGATATTATTCTTATTACTAGTACTATTATATCATCTTCCTCCTCTTCCTTCTCCTCTTCTTCCTTACCCTCCTCCTCCTCCTCCTCCTCCTCCTCCTCCTTCTTATCCTTCCTCATCGTCCTCTTCCTCCTCCTCCTTCTCCTCCTCCTCACCCTGCTGCTGCCGTTGAAGGCAGTATGTTTTCTGATGGCCTGGATCCTGTGCCTTTCTTATTCTCCCCCTCCTCCTCCTCCTTGTTTTCCCGCCCCCTCCTCCTCCATTCCCTCCCCCTCCCCCTCTACCCCTCCTCCCCCCTCCTCCTCCCCCTCCCCCTCCCCTCTTCCCTTCCCCCATCGTCCTCCCCCTTCTGTCACCACTCCTCCCCCTCCTCCCATTCTCCCCCTCCTCCTCCCCCATCCTCCTCCCCTCCACCCTTCTCCTCCTCCTCCTCCTCCTTTTCCTCCCCCTCCTCCTCCCCTGCTCCCCCTCCTCCCCCTGTTCCTCCCCCTGTTCCTCCACCTCCCTCCTCCTCCCCCTCCTCCCCCTCCTCCTCCACCTCCTGCTGCTGCTGCCGCTGAAGGATGCATCGGTCTGTGGTGGCCCGAAGCTTGTGTTCCCTCCCTGCCGTGCAGCAGGGAGTGGGTCATTCGGAGAACGGCTCGCTGGCGGCAGTTGGCGGGGCCGACGAACGCGACGACTGGGAAGCGACGCGGGGGCCGAGAGAAAAACGGAGGGACCAACACGCGAGCGCAGCAGGACATGGGGAGAACGAGGCGCATCGGCGCGGCGAGGTCTGGCGGGCCGATCCCCCGGCGTGGATCCTCCTCCTCCTCCTCCTCCACTCCATTTTCCTCACTCTCGCACCCCGAGGCCAGCCGAAAGGGCGGGCCGGGCGTTTCGCCCGAGACTTCCTCACCATTTATGGTCCTGAAGCTTTGTATTTGCAGCAGTTTCACGGATAGCGGGCGGGTCTTTTTCAAAATGTGACTCTCGTCTTAGCGACGCACACATTCGTTTAAACAATTGCAAGAGCTTCACGGATGGAGGGCGAATCGTTTTCAAAGTGTGACTCCCGTTTTAGCGCCGCGCGCATTCGTTTAAACAATCGCAAGAGCTTCACAAATGGAGGGCGGGTCATTTCTACAATGTGACTCTCGTCTTGGCGCCGCGCTCATTCGTCTGAAAAGTTAGCATGTGTTTCACGGATGGAGATCGGTTCGTGTTCAACAGCTGCTGTCCGCCTTAGCGCCGCGC